TCTATGTGGTCTTGCATCATCTCCCTTTCTTCTCACCTTGTAAAGGTTCCAGTCCTGCACAGATCTCCACACGTGTCTGTGAAACATGCAGCAGTTGCTTTGGTCTGTCAGTGTGATTTAAGTTGTAGTCTTCTAATGTTGGGGCTCTGCTGTTGCTAACGCTCCCATGCTTAACTACCTCACATAGCAGAGTTCAGCACATGTGCAAGAGTTGGCAAGACTGGCTATTTGCTTGAGACACATTATATGAGAGCTATAAATATTTGAAATGTAGCCAAGAACAAGTTTTGAAACTATAAAAGTAACATTGGGGGTGAAATGACAACTTTCATTGTCCAAAGGGCAGTGCTTTATTACAATTTACTGGATTTTTTATTTCCTCCCTAGAAATTAGTGAACTCTTGGAAGCAAAATATTGCAGAAAGTTGTCTTTAATGTAGAGTCTACATTTTCCTGGAAACAATCATTGTCTTTGTTCCAGACACTGAAAGAACCAAGATATACCAGAACACTCAGAGAGTCTTAGCTATGCTTGAGCATAATCTGGAAGTATTATGTTTGTGGCTTAAGAGATCATTATTTTTAAATGCTTCTGTTTCAGCCAGTGTATAAAAATATCAGGAAAATCAGAATGATCCTGGCAAATCAGCTTTATGATACCTTCTCCATTAAGGTTACTTACTCAAAATTATGCAGAAATTGTTTCAACACAGGACACGCTCCAAGTCATACAGCACCTCTGCTTGTCTATACACAAAAAAATCACATCTTCTGACAAAAAAAGATGTAAAGGAACTCACAAAAGAGATTGTAGGAAGGAACAATTTACAGAAAACAACATATGCAAATGACAGGAGAAAGGCAAACAAAGCATCTAATGCTATAGAAAGGGAAGGAAGGAGAATTATTGAAACAAAGAAGTCTACAGCCTATCTGTAAATGCATGAAGTAAAACAAGAAGATGAGCCAACATCCAGTGAGTATTTGTTAGAGAGAAACCATACCAAACAACTCCTTCATTTCAGGAAGATGTTAACATGCTTTTCCTTTGTGGGCAGGGAAAATATACACATCATATAATTTAACACATTTTTTTTGGTGGGGTATCTCAGGAAGACCACATGAACAAGCTAGGGAAGTATAGAATGGATGAACATATCACAGGGGAGAAATAAAGCTGGTAGAAAATTTGGATAGAAAACATGAGTGTTTTTTGGACAAGTTATTCTGCGATTCTGGAGTTTTAAAAGTGTTTGTCTGTGATGTAGTGATACTTAACATTTTCATCAATGACTGCTAGGATGGAGATTATTAAAATCTGGCATGGTGGATCTGCAAGTGTCTGGAAATGCCCTGGAAAGGGGATAGAACTGGAGTTATAAGAAGAGACTGTAATTCAGTAGGGCCAAGTAGATAGTACATGGAGAGGAATCATCATCATGAATAAGTTCAGGCTCAAAAATAACACTATAGGTAGCATTTCCATAGAACAGATCTGGGGATCCAAATACTCAACAAAAGTCAGTATTTTCATGCTGTTTTGTAAAAGTTCAATGCTCTATCAGAAGGTATAGCTGGGAATAAGTGAAATAGACTTTGACCTCTATTCAAAATTCCATAGAGTTTCAGCTGAATATTAGAACAACTGTGCAGTTTTGGGTAGAGCACCTCAAGAAATGTAGGGATCAATGAAAAGGAATGCAGTGGAGATCATGAAAAAAAAAATATAGAAAAGCACAATCTCTGGCAGCAGTATGAATAAGTTCTGATTGTAGCAGAGAGCAAATGCATGGCTGACTCTTCATAGTCCCCAGCAAGGCAGACAGGCAGTGACAGGCTTACATTAAATCCAGAAATATTCAGGTTAGCTGTAATTTAAAAAAATGTTTTAAAATTGAGAGTACTAAAATGACAAAACAGATTTCCTGGAGATGAGTTTTTTTGGAGGTCTTTAGGGACATGTTAAAAAATATGTGTGATGAAGGAAAAAAATACCACTGGTCTTTCATTCAGGACAAGAAGTGGAATTCTTAAAGGGATATAGAGGCAATAATATTAATTTAATCTCTAAAATGTTTTTAGAAATCTTGTATAAAGAATTGAGTTTGAAATGGTTACTGATGTTTTACTCCTGGAAGAATGTTCAATACATCCATTCAGGAACTGGATCCTTATTTTAACTGGGACTGTGAAGTGAAATATTCCCTTGTGTATCAAAAACTCCAGACAAAGTCATAGAGTCTGGATGAGCTTGCAAGATCGGGTCACAACTGGCTCTGCTAACACTTACCAGAAACTGCTGTTTTTGTAAGAGCTTTTGTTGGAATTGCATATAAACAGATCTGTTACCTTGCTCAGTCCAAAATTATGACCTTGGCTGAAGTGATGTTTGCTTGAATCCATTACTGGAAAAGTACATTACAAGAAAAATTGCATGCAGCAATGGCTTGAAAGCAGAGAAGGAGCCAATATCAGGATCACTTTCCTATTCTGGAAATTCTGCCCCAAAAAATGAGAGCTTTCAATCATGCAGCTAAAGTATTGAAACCCAAGAAAGACTGAGACAAGATCAGCAGAGTTGTATCAGGAAGAGTTATTATGGAACAAATTCAGTACCAGACTCGATGTATTATGATTTAGTGACATGGCCTCTATGCTGAACTATGGCCACAAGTGCCAGTCCTGAAGGATGAACCCAAAGCAAGCACACTCAGCATTTCAATGGTGTGACCCAGAAGCTGAGCTTACCTCAGATAATCAAACTTGCAGAGGAGAGCTTGAATGGGAAGGGATGGATCTGACTGCAGAGACTCTCCCCAGAGACTCGATATAACTCCTCATGGCCAAGGGACTGCTATGACAGATAGCTGGACATTTGTGTGTAGGAGATGTGAAGCCATTTGCTGAATAATTTATGAAATCATTGTAACAACTGGCTGAGTGGCATATGTGACTAAAAAAAAAATCTGAAAAAGCAAAAGGAAAGGATAATTGCGGCAGCAGACATTGTGAAGTGAGGTGCTGAGTCAATGAAATTAGAAAGAGAAAACATTATTAAATCTCTCTCCCTGATTATGTAGGGCTTTTCCCTTATGATACAGCCCCCAGTGTATTACCAAAGCTTGTTTAAAATAATTCAGTGGCTTCTCATGGGATGCAACTCTGCTAATCTGCAACTCTGCGCTTGTATTTCTTTTTTTCCTGATACTTCTATCCATGATTTTACATCCTACTATCTTAGCCCTTGGATGACCTGCATACAAATTCCTTTCCATAAATGAACCTTGCACCTTTCATAAACCCCATACATTGCTGTCACATCGACCTCCCATTTCATTCTGGGTTGGTCAAAGCTTCAATATAACGTTCATTTTTATTTCTGGCAATTTCCTTCCGTAAATCAGTCCCTCCAGTGCCTTAAACACATCTGTTACTTTTCTCTGAACATCTTCCAACCTATCAATATCTTTCTGGAATAGAAGAACCTAGGATTATATCCAGTATTTTAGGAGAATCATTACTTCAGAAGGATTTTTCATTATTAAATTCTGTAAGTAATTGCAAAAAATAAAAAAAAAGCTACATTCCAGTAACCCCGAGCCATAAGATGTTGGTGGTCTGCTCTGCATGGCATGTATAACCACACTGTGTACCTCACACGGCACATAGGTAGGGACAAAAACCCTGATGCTCAAAGCAAACTGGACCTGCTTCATGGTCCTCTGCAGTCTTTTTAACCTGTGAAAATTATAAACACTTCATCTTTATTTTCTAGTCCAATTTTTAAATCAGATAATGAATATTGTGAAGACTCTGGGGAGCATCCCCTAGGTTAGGGAGACACAAGAAACTTCCCTCAAAAAGCTGTTAAGACCCCCCTGGTTCCTTCCCCTGTTCTTATGTCCCTCAGCCACTCCCTCCCTATTCCCCTGTTGTCCATCCTCTTTGTACTGCCTGAGAGCACCCCTGAACCATTACCTGGGGGGACACAGAGAAACCTAGACCCTCCACATAAGTGTGCCTGAGACCTTGAACATCTTACCGGGCAGCTGAATTAATCATCTGTGGATATTATGCAAAGGCCTTTTTGCTTCTTTACCTGGGACTTAACTTGCAGCAATTCAGGCTGCAACAGAATACCTATGGTGGAAAGATTCACTTCTGTGCAGATAACCTGCATAATACTTAAATTTCATTCTGAGACTTGTTTTGAGGTGGCAGGTGTTCTAAGAATGGATTGCATGCTTTACACTCACAGTATGTTTACCCCTAATATTTACAAAAGTTAGTCACCTCTATGCAAGCAGACCACAGCATATAATAAAGCTGATTTTTAATTTAATTTTATGGTTCTTTTCTTCCCTCTTTTGTAGCATGTTTCTTGTGGGGTATGGGTTATGTCAGGCACTAGGAAGGAGCAAGACAGGATGTTGAAATGGGAAGAATATTACACAAGCATCATTCCAGGCCCCTCCATTTCTGTATCACCTTGAACTCACCCTGACCTGGCTCTGGGACCTGTGTTTGGCAGAACACTTCTGTTTATACACTTCCTTTGGTTAGTCAGTCTCATCTACTAGTGATTCTGCCTGAGGTTCTTACTAAACATAGGCAGATACAGAGCATCAGAAAACAGCAGTTCTTCCTTTGGGTGGGCAGGCCAGGACTTCAGCTAAAGCTGTTCCCTTCTTTCTCAACCTGACCAAGGATGAAGCAGAACCCTACTTTGCACCCAACTCTAAAAGCAGTGGCTAATTCTCCAGGAACATTGCCAGGGTGGTTATCTCCTTGTAGGATTTTACTTTCAAGGAAGCTGTGATCAAGCTACTGTTATACAGCTCCTTTGTATGTTGCTGTTCCTTGCTGACAGTCAAATTTTGAATTCCTGTAGAGACGAATGCTCCATGAAAATGCACCATCACATGGAAATTAAAAATGTGCCTATTCCCTTCTCTTCATGTTCTTAGCATGCTGCTGGTGATTTTTCCCTTTTTTCCTAGGAACAAGAATTAGGGTAAGGCACAAGCCTGATAACTCCTATGTGATAAATGGCCCAGTCAAAACCAATGACAATGCCTGAGGATCTGGAAGACTCTTGTGTGGAACTATAAGCAGAGACCTTCTGCTGCCTGAGAATCTGTAAAGCAGATTTAGTTTCTTTAAAAGGACAGCTGGACTCTTATCACCTGCTGTGCTTGCGTTCTTCCCATCACTGTTGATATAACTTAGACTGGAATCCGAGTCTCTAATAAAACATTTGAGTGTTTTATTTTGCATTTTATGTTGTTGTGGTTTTTTAATGCACATCAAAGTCATTCATAATTCCCAGAATTTTCTACACTGAACTGTTTGGTTAAGCAAAGACGTTGGTGATGGTGTGAATTATTTATTTATACAGTGTACTTTTAAGTTGGGGCCAACATTAATTTGGCTGGGTCACTGGCATTGTGGATTTAATTGCCATGTAAATATCTACGGCGTCTATGTCTTTAATTAGTGTGCTAAATTCTACACAATTTATGAATAAAATATATTCATTTTGACATTTTAAAACAGTTATTTTATTAATGAAAAATTTAACAGCATTATGCCAATTCCCTTGCCTTTTGTTAATTATATGCCTCTCGCATTTTCTGATATGTTAATTTTGTTTGGTATAAATATTTGTCCTCATTAAGAAGAATACATTGTCAATGTTGACTAATTTTTTTCCTCTGAACAGATAACTTAAATGAGACTTCATTTTTTTCTTCTTGTTACTCTTACTGATTTGTAAGACTCATCTAGCTCTGTTCTATAAAATCCTGTTCACCCAAGGAATGAACGGCCTAGCTTTCTCTACGTGGTGTGCATGCCATGTTGAAAAGGATATTGGACAGGATTTAGCTAGCTATGTTTTTTACAAGAGGGAATAAAGAGAGAAGTTTTGCTAAGATACACTGTCCCTTCTGTGAACTTCTGCTGCTAGATTGGCAATTCACACATGATGCGTGCTGAAAGGTTTAAAGAATGCAGATATGGAACAAGGGGCATGAACAGGACGAGGCTGTGGTGCCAGAGTGCTTCTAGAGCAATGGCAAAGCCATAAACTATACAGGAAAAGCTATGTCCCTCTGAAAAGCAAGTGCTTTTTTAACCCCACGTTCCTGGCTAGGGTAACTCTGACTCCCTTTCCCTCTTAAAGAATAGGAAAGCAAATAACAAAATAAAATTGACATACAGCCATGAGTCTCTTCTGTCACACAGCTTGCTTATTTTTACTTGCACAAGAGCTGATATCATGCCAAGACCACCAGGGAGGTGCAAGGGATGTTCTGATGGGAAAGGAGAGAGCTGGGCCAACAGGTGTGAAACGTTCAGAGAAGGAAACAGCAAGTCTGCCTCTGCAAAATGGGAGGGGTGGGAATGGCAGCTACAAATACTTGTTTTAAGAACCAGCTTCATTTTAAAAACATGAAGTCCCCTGTTTTTGTCAGGCGCCTATGTCTCATGTTTGACATGAAAGCTGAAAAGGGAGGCCAGGCTGAATGCTGAAGGTAAAGCTTGCTGATGAGGAGACAAAATATTGACCCCTTGCATGATTTGGGATAAGAGTTCAAGAAAAGAGACTGGGGGTCATAGAATAGAATCATAGAAACACTAAGGTTCGAAAAAACCTCCAAGAACATTGAATTTCAGACTGAACACCATGTTGGCAACAAAACTGTGTCACTTCTTGCTCTTTTCCAGTAATTTCTTGAATGCTTCCATGAATGTTGACTGCATCACTTCCCTAGGTAGTCTGTTTTAATCCTTTCAGTGGAGAAATTCTTCCTGAAAGGAAGCAGAAGAAAAGGACTTTTGAAAGAAATATAAAAGAAACAATATGTAATCATAATTCTGCAATGATTGACTCAATTAATATAGCAAAAAGATGAAAACGAACAATGAATAATTTTTACAACCAACAGAAAACCCTGAAGTTGTGTAACTTTTAAGATGCTAGGAAACACTGACAGTTGGGTGAGCACTTATAAACAAATATTGCCTAAGTTCCAAATACTACATTGCTAAGGAGTCATGCTCTTGTTGCATCAGGGGGTAGAAAAGCTGGCATGTGCCTCAGCTCACTGCTGAACAAACAACACCTTAGAGCAGAATCTTTTTTTTTATGAGCCAGTCACATATAAAATCCACATTAATAGTGACAATGAAAAGCAGATGTTCTGAGTTTATTACACTGCTTTGAATAGACTCCATCAAATATTAAGCCAATTTCAGCTGAGGTTACATGGTCTTGTACCTCTTGGCCTCATATAGCTGCTATGAAGGATTCGGTACTTCCACCACTCCTTGTCAGTACCTGTAAGGTTTCTGTTTAATTATGCCTTTCCTGTTACAGCTTCTAACCTACGCTGGGTCACAGAAAAATGTCAGGACAAGACAAATCAAAAGAAGCAGTCACAGCTGAGGGTCAGAACACAACATCCACACTGCTAAAGACGCAAAAAATCTGTGGATGCAAAGCTTGACACGTTTCCAAGGACACATAAGAGAAAAGCCACTGGAGATTAGAGCTGCTGGGAATTACAGGCCAACAACATCAGGGTCAGGAAATCCCCTGAGGTAAATATATTTGGACGCCTGCACAAAGCTCAGGGAGTGTCATGCTTACTTGTCCAGAAGCAGGGAAGGGAGGAAGGAGTGGCCCGAGCCTGGCTCAGGGAGGCTCTGCTCAGGCCAGAAGTGGTGTGCAGGACACGTTCTGCAGGAGCCACCAAGCCAACAGCCACCAGCTGTCCTGTGTGCCTCATGGCTGATGCACCACAGCCCTCACAGCACCCCTGTGCCTTGGGTCTGTCCAGATAATGCACCCAGAAAATGGCACCATCTCCCTGGGAGAGGGCGAGTCTCACCCAATGAAATGGTGAGGTGAAATGGAGGTAAACTTGGCTGAAAAAGATGTATCACTTCTTAGAATGAGCTGTAAGCTGTAAGCTCTAAGATATCTCTGCCTGTGAGCAGTGTGGATGCCAGTGCAGTTCCAATGGGAATGGCCCCAGGGCTGGGCTGAAATGTATCCCATAACATGGACTGGGCCTCCCATGTGTGATCCCTGCCCAGCCACAGCAGCAGCCCAGCTTGGCAGGCGGGACGTGCATCCATCTCAGAGATGAGAGCTCTTAATCCACAGTTGCTCTGAAAGTCTGGAGATGCTGTATCCAAAGATAGGTGTGTGTATGCATTCTCTTCATGCTTCACTGACACAGCAGCCATTCTGACCTGAGGAACTGCATGTAAATATCACACCTTGGATCACCGTTTAAATCTGAAATCCAACATCCTCACAGACTCTGTATTGTTGTCTAAGTTATGTGAAAATATTTTACAGTTTCTACATACCTTTTTCTCCCACAGGTATGCTGTAAGTAAGTAAAAATGGTCAGTTTGCCTATCTACTGAGGTGAGATTATATGTCAAAAAACAGATGAAGAATCTGACCCGCATGTGGATATAGATCCTGGCTGCTGTAAGTCACCTAGAAACATGAAGAACCTCTTCTGACTCCTGAAGTCTTTAGCACATGGATTACTTTCCATTGCAGACAAATTTCACATCATTGGTTGCTTATTTCAGTTGCAGTAAAAAATGAGGATTTGAACATAGATTTAAAAGTAATCCGAGAATAATCCACTGAGCTCCTTGCTGAGCCCTCTGCACCTGTTTATACTATTTGAATTTTGCCATTTTTTGACTGTGACCGAGTTCACATTTTCCTTTCTACTTTCATTGTATATTTTTCTATTATGCTCCTAATTTAGCATTTTTAGAGGTGCTTGCAGGCTTCCTCTGAAATTATTTGATCACATACATTTGTGGAGTGCTTTAATGTCATCTGCTACTTACTTTTGTAACATGCATTTTACACAACACTCTGATTTGTTTGAACATTAATTTCTTTTGTGGATGGAAGCCAACATACTGTTTTCACATCACAGATCTGCACTCAATTGTGTAACATTTGGATCAGGAACATTTAGGATTAAATATGGTTTCTAAATGTCTTGAAAAAGCTTAACTTAGGCTCTGCTGCAGCATTCACACTTTTCAGGTAACTTATCTCAATGCTCTGAACAGCAGGACTTTGAAGACTTCAGCCAGGAGGTGATATGACTAGTTAATCAAGCCTCTTTTCTGTGTTTCTTATCATCTACTCTATTTTATTACATTTGAAAATTAAAACAGATTCTGCCAAGAGCAAGTATGTTTGCACATTGCCCTTTGTTTGCACTGACATTTATATATTTGCATACGATTGCCATCCTTTCTTAAGCTAAAATCAACCCTGCTTTATTGTGACACTACAGTTTAAGTAAGGGACATCCAACTGCGACTTCAGCACAATAAAGACTGATTGAAGTGCCAGTGATTTCAGCTGTGTTTTGCATTGCAGTTACACATGCTCTACTCAATTGAAGCAAAACAATCCTAAGAAACAGAGATGACAGCATAAAGGTCAATAGCCAAAGATATGAGCTCTTTAGTGAAATTTACTGCAATAGAAAAAATTACTGATTATATTTGTACATTTTATGTGCTTCTCTTTCATTTACTTATTTTTTTAAATGAAGTTAATGGTATACTGGCACAAAGAAATTTCTTTAAAACATTGCATTCTGTTTCCCAAATATTCCTGTAATTGGTTATGAGACTTGGTTTACAAGGACAGAGATGAACCACACACAGGTATACAGAGAAGGATGCTCTAGGAAATTATAAGAACCCACATTATAGGAAGTCCATTAGCTTTCACTTCCTAAATAATTAAACAGTACACTCATTCACCTTACCTCAAGAATTGAAAATGGATCTTTTGAAAAGGGCATCCTCTTTTACTGGAGAAAACATGTTTTTTCTCCACACAAAAAGCAGAACACAGTTTGAAATGTGCAGTAGAAATTCTAAAGAACCTATAGAAATCAATCAAATATCATTTAAATTGCACATTCAAAACTAGAATTTTTCATTACACTGACAATATTTATGCAAGTCAACAAAGTTGTTATCTATAGTTATTTATGGATCGACATCACTCATCAAAGTTTATAATATATTTTCCAATACAATTTCAATGTTTCTTTAAGGAAAACAATGTCACTTGAAAGTAAAATGTTTGCAGAAATAGCTCATTTTCACTTAGCTAATGAGGAGTTAGAAAGCCAGTTATCTCAGGGCTCTGCCAAATCACACCAAGCAATATTGCAAAGAAATTTTTTTTTGTTCCAGGACATTTTACTTCGTTTAAAAAATGAATAAATTAAAGAGAAGCATGGAGATATAATCAGTAATTTTTCCTTTTGCAGTAAATTTCACTAAACAGCTCACATCTTTGACCACTGACTTTTATCCTGTCATCTCCGTTTCTTCAGATTTTTTTGTTTAAATGGAATAAAGCACATGTAACTTTGTAATACAAAAGACACTGAAATTAGTGACACTTCAATTAGTCTTTACTCAGCCAAAGCTTTCAGAAATTCTGGTGTTTTTTTACTTTGTGGAAGGAATTTTGGAAGCCTACAAAACTCAGTCATGTCTCAGATTTCCAGATCACTTAGCCGCTTCACTTTACTTTGCAGGCTTTTCAGGCTGTTCTTTAATCTTTCAGTGTGGCCAAGGTTACAACACAAGAAGTGCTGATTATTCATTTTCATAATTAACAGTTCTCAGATGAGATATTTTGTGTTAGCTCTTCATTCAGCAGTTGTAAATGTTTTGATTTTCATTCCAAAATAAGAACAAACCTTTCACTCTTTCTGAACTTCCTACAACATAAATTCAGAATTTTGAGCTGCCATAATCACAGTACTTTAGAGTTTCTAAGTTTCTAATATTTTTTCTGAAAATGTTTGTAAAACCTTTGAAATGTCCATATTATGGACATTTATGGTGATTAGCCTGAAAATTCAGACCAAACACACTAAGTTTTTTAGGTATCCAATAGGGAAGCAAAAAGCGTAGGATGTGATTTTGATGCATGTACTTTGTAAAAAATATTAGCAAGCAGCAAGTAATCAAAATCAAATTGCACAGAATGATATTTCTTTGCATAAATTATTATTACTACTACTACTACTACTATTATTATTATTTTTATTATTATTATTATTATTATTATTATTATTATTATTATTATTATTACTTTCAAAGTATTATACTAGTGGAGTACGAAATATAATTACAAAATATTGGGTAATTTCCTGCCTGGGTAACTGATAGAGACTAATAATTTGACCAGCCCTAGGAAAATCAGCTACAAATTCTGATCTTTATGCACAGGGCTACACATTCTGAGCATTTAAAGAGACAAGGCAACTCAGCTTCAGAAAGGTAAACCCAAGCGCTGCTGAGTTAGCCAGACAGACACTTTATGTATTTGTGTGCCTCAAGTATGAATAACTGCCAATCATGTGTACAAAACTAAAGGGGCAATAATTTCCTTTGTTACTGCTAGAAGAAGTTGATGGAAAGGGTATACAGCAAATGCCATTGGTAATGATTAGTTGTAATCAATTGTGCAAACATTGGCTCTGTTGGGTGTTCCTGACCACCTCCTGCTGACAAGTGGGACCAGCAGAGCCCTCCTGTAGCACCATCTTAGCTTTGAGCTGAACTGCACAGCTCAGAACCGAACAATTCCATCTATCAAACAGTTCTCTCCCAACTACCAAGGTCTCCCTATCCTACCTGCCAGCCTGCTTCACCACCACGTGGCTTTTTTGTTGTTCTGCTTTGTTTTTCACTGCTTTCTTT